TACAGGTGTAATAACAACCCCCTCAGCCGTTGTATACTTAATATTTTTTTATCAAGATAAAGATGCATCATAAGCACGAATTATCTTAAATCGTGATTTACACTTATTTATCAAAATGAAGTATATTAGTTTATATTACGATAACAATTATGTAAGCACTAAAGCCGGGATCCGGCATTAATTACTATTTTAGACCGTTCTGTGACGTTTTATCGATTACTCGTTTCATGCAAGATTTAATATATCTTTCTATGCAGCGTGTAAGAAAACGTTTACAACTTCATAATTATTGATTATTTGATTATCATGATGAACTATCGTATACCTACGTAAAGTTATCAATTTTGTGTTCATAATTTTTTCAATTAATTTTGAATAACACCCCTCCCCCCCTTAGAAATTTCTAGCTACGGGGGGCCTGCACGTACTTAATCGTATTTTTTGTGTACTATAGTTAGGTATAAATGCAATAATAAGCATAAAACACGCTTTCCTTATACAATTTTTTATGGTATGTATTTTATTACCTCAATGGCTTAACGGATTATTCATAGTAGAAATATGTCTGTATTTGTAAATATTGCGTCGTTTTTCATTTAAAATTAAGAACCATTGCCCTCGTTCTATGGCGTTCGAAAAATAAATTCTATTCGAATATTTTGAATACTTAAAATTGATATAGTAAATGTATATAATTGAACACATAACTACACAATAGAAACTACAAAATATAATTATACAATTATACGAATATTACAATTTATTATAAAAAATAGTAATTTACAAATGTATACCTAGCTGTTATATAAAAGAATGTAAACATAAAACATTTATGTGTAGTGGTGATTTGGTGATTCGTACGATATTAACTAGTAACTGCGATAATATATTTAGAAGCATAATTATAATATTAAAAATAAAATAAAATATRTTATGTAATGATATAGTTTAAAATAATAATAATATGCTGTGTGCGTGTGTCAGTGAACGTACTGGTTGGCGACTTATATAGGTTGCTGCSCTGTTGGCCTATAATATTATCCTATTAATCATAATGAAGTTTTAATGTGGTGGAGTGGTGCGGTGGCAATATTACCGATATCTCTGTTAATTATAGTAGATATAATAAATATATAACGATAAATAATAATAAATAATAATTTTAAACACATATCAACAAAAACATTGATGTTATTCTTAGGCAAAAACAATATTGATTGACATAACTTAAAATTTGTTTCATAAAAAATAAAGATCTATGAAAATCGAATTTAAAATGTATTTCTAATAATTCTATATGGATCACACTAAATATTAAAAGATATAAGTCGATGTAATTTATACTAAAATTATAATATTTTCATCATTCTTTTTTATTATTMAATTTACGTAATATAGTAAAAAACGCAAAAATTGTCCTCTCCGGTCTCTCACGTGACAGATATTTACCACTATACTGACTAGGTTAGGTACTATCGAAGACTTAAGCGTTCGTCAAGCATTTTTGAGTTATTTCGACCCAGTTTTGTAATGAATATAGATAATTTTTGTGAATTGATGATATTATATCTGCTTAACAAATAACAGGTACTTATTTTTTAAGTAACTTAAATCATCACTTTGTTCTTTTTTTTAATTTTTCTAAATTACTAAATTAAAGCATTATAATTTTATAACTTATTCCACAGATATTTAAGGGGTAATACTGACAATTTTCAACTTCGAACATGTTTAGATAATGTTGTATATTAACACTAATTTTAGATTCTGAGCGGAGCGATRAATGTATTGATTTTACCATGATGTGTGTTTTTTTTTGTGTCTGTCATCACGTTTTGGGGCAGTAAAAGTGCTTCGATTTTTGTCTTCAGTACCTCGTTCGATCA